AGGTGGGAGTGAGCTCGAACGGAGGCAGAATCTTCTCGATTGCCTTCAATGCCTTGTGGGTGTAGGCATCGTTACCGTCGCATGACAAAGAACCGATACCAGTGTTCGACTTCAGTGCCTCCGCCAACAGCACCATGCCATCTTCTCCAAACCGGTTATGGTCCACGGACAACGCCCGAAGCGTGTCATTCTCCGCGAGTGCTAAGAAGGCCAGCGACACCTGTCGTCCGAATCCACCGGTCGAACGACCGATTGCCACAACGTTCTTGAGTGCATTGGCAGGCGCTGTGCTGCTGTCTGTCTGTTCCTGAACTTGCTGCTTGATTTCTGTACCGGAGATATTCATCGTGACCAGAGTCTTGTTCCTGGACAGCACGCGTCCGAGGCCGAGACAAGTTTCGTCAGATGCATCCTCAGGCCTGATCCTGGCGTTTGCTTCCCCGTAGGTTAGACCCTCCAGTTCTGCTGCCTGGCTCTCGCGCTTAATCAGCATGCCTTTAATGTTGAACTCATTCAAACAAGTGGCTTCCTCCAATGGCTCGAGTACCCGCCGCAAGGCAGCGTCCCGGATGATAAGGTCTTGCATCTTGATACTGAACGGTGTCCCATCAACCCTCCTTCCATCCTCAGCGAGAACTTGAATCCAACCCAAAAGCGATGCTTCCGAGTCAAAGAGCGGGTTTTGACTGACATCAAGCGTAAACTTGGTGTTCTTGTTCACCGCGCAGAGAGTCTTGAATAACGGCACAACGCTAGTCCAGTCAAGCTGGCAGCGTGTCAAAGCGAGTGTCATTAGCTCTCCATGGGTGGACACAAATGAGTTCAAAACAGCGATCGTGGCGTGATTGACAGGGGTATTAGAGAGGTCTAATACAGCGAGGCCTTGATTTTTTGCCAGTGGCGTGTCTACCCATTGCCGCCAGCTGTTATCGACTCTCTTTTTGGTTGTATGCAACAGAGTATCAGCTAGAGCGTTGTATGGAGGCAGAGGAGTTTGATGAGCAGGTAGGTCAATAATCTCCGTCTGAAGAAATTGGTCCTGAACCGAAGAAAGGCATGATTGTGCTAGGTATATTGGATCGCACTCCGCACCTGATTCTGCACCAGAATGTCGCCTTGGTATTGATAGTGCTCCTGCTGGAGCCATGGAAGTCATCGCGTCCGCCCCTTTCATGGACGTTTGTCCGTCAGTCAATGTCGGGTATATCTGCGCCGGCTGTTGTTGCAGCTGGTTTGGAGGTTGTCCGCTGGCCTGCAATACCGTCGTGTCAGGTACAAGATCGCGCATCTCCAGGACTGAGGTTCGACCGCTGGAGAACGTAGATGTATTGCTCGTCAAAGAGAAATGCGACTCGATCGGAGTTGGCGTCATGATGTTTTCATAATAATGATCCTTGCAAACCCATTTCGAATATCCATCGTTGTCGAAGGTTCGATACAGGTCCCCGAGCGCGCGATCACTGCTGGGAATGTATAGTTGTCGCTCCAGCTGTCTCATGTCTGCGCTATGAGAAAAATCGAATGTCTCCGCTTCAGTCTCGTCTCCGGATGCGTTGTCGAATTTTCTACTGGTTTCTTCTTGGTACTCCTCGATAAAATTAATCGCCTCATCCACCAAGGTGTCGATGTAGCTTGTTATCGGATCCTGCCCAGCGTGCGGCTCGTTAAGTCCTCCTGTCAATTCAGTTTGTCCTGGCGATGGTGCAGACTTGCCAAGGCGTCGGGACTGGCTTTTCATCACGCCAAGAGTCGATAAGACATATGTCCCATACGTTTTCAAGAACTGGTCCAGCTGCCTGAGATTGTATCCTTGGTGCTTGGCCAGATGCAGCTCATGCGATAGGCCGATACTCGAGGATTCGGCACTAGCTGTGTATTCGCACAAGAAATGTAGACGGAACTGCCTTCTTTGCCCGTCCTCCTGTGATCCTACCATGGGCAGAACAATAAACAATGGGTACTCGTGCATTTCGAATGTCCGATTCAGTACTGATAAAATGTGGCTCCTCATGATAACAAGGCGATCGATGGATTCCTGCTGTGCTTGGAGTACCTGTTGCTGCATCTCCGATAATATTTCTGGATGTATTTGGGTGCCGTCTAAGCGTTGGCTTTCCTGGATCGCCTGTCGCAAGCGCTGCATCTGTCCCAGCAGATTCTCCTGCTTTAAAGCTTCCGAGTCCCAACTTGCAAAGATCTCAGTGAGATTATCTCTGATGTTTGCTGCCTGCCTTGCTTGACCAGACATAATAGCTTCCAGTTGGGAGCCGTAGAGCCGATAGCAATCCGAAACAGACTGATGTACATTCGAATCCTGGTCTATGGAGTGGTTGCCGAGGAATTTGTCGAGGAAATCATAGCTGTTGACGGACGTCACTGATGGCGAGGAAGTTCCCACAGGAGCGCTCTCCATAACCACCTCCAAGACTACGCCCGGCTTATGTAAGATTCTCTTTGGCATTAGCCTACGATACCGGAGTAACAAGCGTTAGAACGCAATTCTGCTGCTCAGAACGGTGCGACAAATACAGCTTCTCTCGCCAGTAATACTTACACATGCCCATCTTTGTCCTCCAAGAGCGGTACTGTTCCTTCATTACTGGTTATGTACACAGCATCCTTGAATACCTGCTCGATATCCTCCATCAGGACGATGCGTTGCCCAATTGAAGCGTCAAAGTATGTCGGGATGGCAACAGCGTCAGGTCCAAGTTTTGAGTCGTGAGATGCGCGGACTCGAATCAGCTGCAAGTCCTTCTGGTATGTGCTGGATCCTAAAAGAGAGGATATCTCCAAGGTAGAATCAAGTTGCGATGCCAAGGCGGAAGCGAGAACATCGTCGCGAGCTCGGATGCTGCTAATTCAATATGCGGATTGGTGAGTATTCCTTCTTTCGCCGCCATTGACTGGTATCCGCGGGGGCGGATACCATACTTTTCTGTACCCTGTTTCTGACTTACCTCTCGATATCAGTGATATAGTCGCCGTGATCCATTGTACAGGCTTAACGTGTCTGATGTTGGATGAAATGGCCTAGGTCGTTCAAGCAGGACAGGAGCCGACGCAACCGCAACTGACTGGGAGAAGGAGACAGTGAAAAGGAACGGAAGAGAAGAGCTGTGTTTTTTTTGTGTTGTTTTTTTAGGGAGAGGACTGTGGTCATGCCGTTATGCGCAAAACATTGTGCGACATGTACCATTGGATGAGTGGCGACTATCTCTAATGATGGTCTTTTGGCTGGGTGTACCATCCAGACAATCGCTCAACACAGCACAAACCAGCGCCTCGAGCAGAGGATGGTCTTTTCATCCTTGCTCCATCGTTCTCCTTCGCTTCCTAGCTAACGAACCTATCCATTTGCTCTTCTTCACCTTTTCATGGCAAAAAATACCACATGTACAATACAGGTTCATACGTTTCCATATCAAGTTCACAAAGAGAGCAAGCTAAAAAAAAACCTCTTCGCTCGGGGTGCCGGCACAAACAACATGTGTAGGATACTTTTTCTTATAACGACAGTTCTTTTTTATTTTTATTTTTATTCGCTCACTCAAAGATGGTGGTATCATAAGCCTTCAATCGCCATATCCAATGCCTTCTTCTCAAAGGCTCCTATCAGCTGCCACAGCGTATCCGAATCCCTGAGCTTGGCGAGCTCCGTGCCCCTGAGATCTAGCATCTTCAGTATAATAGTGCTATTGTTGTTGTTGGTAACCCTGTCGACTAGGATCCTGAGCTGATCCAAAGAAAAGTTGGATCCGTTAAAACTCAGTGTCTCCAAAGCAGAGAAATCGATAGAGTTGATCACAGCCTTCCAATCCAAGGGTTTAAGAGCGAGGTGGTCAAGATGGATAACAGTCAGTGATTTCCACGCCATGAGTGCAGGGTCCTGTTGAGGTGGGGCTGAAACCATTTTGGTAATCCAAGCGACGTAATTACTTGAAAGCGTTTTCGATTTGCAAGAGCTGGTCACTTTGAATATGCCGAGCTCTGGAAAGTAGCGTCCTGAAGAGTGCACTATTGGGCTTTCGGTGGTTCCTGAATCAGTCAGACCATTGTGTACTGTCAACGAGCACAATTTTTCCTGATACCTAGAAAGCAGGCGCATCATCTTTTGATGATACAGATCATCTCCCTGAAGATGGAGGTAAAAACCAAGATATTGCTGAGATCCTGTCTTTGGAGGCATTGGGTGATCGATGACATTGCACATGCGCTCAAGCCCTTCATTTGTCAACATCGTTGGGTCTAGCGTCAGCGACGTGAGACGCGGGACCGTACTCTTGTCCATGCTGTCTAGTAGCTCGACAAGAGCGTCACTAAACGATTGATTTGTTTCCAGTCGCTGGATGGACGAGCCGTATTTGCGGAACACCTCCCAGAGATTGCTGGACTTGGCCACTGGCTCAGTTGCACGCATAGTGATATTGGTGGTTATATTGGGCGCATCGGAGCCGTTGAGGAAGGTGAGCGTTATGTGGGCAATGTCCTTGTCCTTGAAATCAGTATCCTCGGACAGTTCCAGTCTGCTCAGCGTACTCGAGCCGTTCGTCTTGATAATGGCTTTTCTTGTCGAGGTGATCAAGTCGATGATGGCAAGAGTCCGCCCGGGATGACATCCGATGTGGACCTCGGAAAGATGCGGACTCTGGTGTAGGATACTCTTCAGTAAATCATCCTCTGACTCTTGTGGTGTGTGAATCAGGTGCAGTCTTGTAAGGTCGCGTTGTTCAAGGAACTTCCTGTCGTCCAATAAAAGGTTCTTGAGCCGGGTAATCGTCATTCTGGTGGAGCCGACCTTGCCTTGAGAAACGTCAATGACTATCGTATGCTTCTGGCTGTCCAGAATCACCTTTCTGAGCCGCGGGAAAAGGTTGATCTTGCCTTTTATGAGGTCGAACAGGAGATATCGATTGCTAGATCTCAGCTTCAGTTCGATCAGTGAGGCGCAGCACTCCAGGACAATTTTGAAACCTGATTTGGCCGCCTCATCTTCAATGGGAAGCTCAGAGTCGATGGTGAGTGTTTCGAGCATCGGAGCATGTATTTTCGGGGAGCTGCCAATTCGGACGTAAAATTTGTCAATCATCCTAAGCGCCAGCCTTCTAGTATGACCGTTCGTCATGAGCTTTACAATGGGATCGAACCGGCAGCCTCTGTTGAGGACATCGCTTAGGGGCTTCTTGAGATATCTCCCATCCATGGTCAAACAAATAATATTCATCCGCTCGAGTGCGGCGGCAAATGATCGAAGGTCTCCGAAGGTCACGGCCCAGGCCATCGTTATCTCCAGTTCATGAATACCACTTGCCATGAGCATCGACTCGTAAAACTCCTTCGCGATGGTCTTGGAGGAAATGGTGATGACGACTCTGCCTCCCACCATGGACAATTTGCCGCCGTTGAGCCTCACAACTTCCCTCAGTCGCCTTTGAGATAAACTCTGGCAGTCGCCTCTATGATCGCTGCAAACCCACTTGACGTGTCCACCAGCAACAACGATCCGAGTAAGGTTTCCAAGGGCTCGCTTCTGATCATGATCCTTCAGGTACGATTCGAGTTGCCTCAGCTCGTGGCCTTTCAGAGGCTCCAACTTTTCAAGGTCGGCAACCGTGGCAATCTCGTCGTATGTGTCGCCCGTCAGTCGCTGTATCGAATTGATCGTGTTGCCCAGCAGCGTCCGCATTCCTTCCCCACCTTCCTCGATGGCCTTCTGTATCTGCTCAACCTGATCCGAGGCGTCGAGATGGGCTAAAGCTGGTGCAGCAATCGATAAGACGATGAACCCCAGCTTGATCAATTGCAGCATTGCCACAACGTACGGTCCGTACTTCTCAAAGAATTCAGTGGGTCGGGCCAGGTCGTATCCTTCATGCTTCGCAAAGTGTATGTCGTGTGAAACCCTGCTGTTGTTTTTCATGGTATGACTACCGCACTCGCACAGAAAATATAATCGGAATTGATGTGTAGCTGGGCTGGCGACTTTATCGCGAAAGCTTGGCGTTTTAGGAAGAACGACGAAAAGCCGAGGTATCGGATACTCATGGAGTTCATAAGTTTGCGTGAGGAGCACTCCCAAATTTCTATCGTTGTCGGCCGCACGAAGTAGCAGTTGACGTATGCCTTGTATGACCTCGTTCTGTTGGATGTTGTCGGTGTCCAGGCTCAAGTTGGCAAGATTTTTTAGTGTGACGATGTTGACCAAGTCCTGTCCTTTGAAGCTGGTGGCGGCCTGCAGTTCAGAAGTGGCACTCGTAGTCTGAACGACACAGCCGGCTGCCTCAAGAGGCCGGCGGATACCCACGTTGGCTGTGGCGGTGGTGGTTGGCTCGGCCGGGCTGGAGCTACTTGGGCGGGGAGCACAATCTGATGGCTTCGAGTATGTCTGCAAATGCGAAAAATTTGCAGTTTCTCTTCGTTGGTCTGCGCTCTGCAAAACGACGTTGAGTTCTACACCCGGATGATAGAGAATTCTCCACGGAGTAAGGCTATTGTGTCAACATGGAGACGTGGGTAAGTGAGTGTTCAAACGTCTCGCGCACACTCGATTCGCCTATTGCTAGTAAGCTTGTTTTCTGTTATCGGCAACCCACCGCTCGTCATCTTCGCCTCTCATGAATGGCACCATCACTCTACCGTCCGCAACGTAACGGATGCTGCTGCCACAGCCTTGCTCTATGTCCTCCCAGAAAATATACTTCTGGCGTTTTTTGTCTACGAGGGGGCGGATGGAGAACGTCTCGGATATAGACGGCGATCCTGGGGATGAACAAGGTCGGAACCATTGCAAATCTTCGTCCGTATCGGAGACCGTCATGTCTCGCCCTGGTACTGTTGGAGGTAAGTAGGAGGGCGAGAAGAGCGGAAGAATGAGGGAAAGAACACAAAATAGATGGGAAGAAAAGAAAACTCGGCGGTAGAAAAGAATTGTGGCGAGGGCATTGTTGCCTGCTTATTGGAGTGTGTGTGCGCTTTGTGCAACGATATTCATGCATATTGATCAGGTCTTTTCGACGGCGAAGTATCGTAAGCGTCGCCAAAGCCCGAGAGTTTCTAGACCGGGCTGGGCTGACAATTGTCGTGGTGCTCAAGGGTCCCATGGCGGAGCACTGGCTTCAGGTGCTGTATGCATACGTACAAATATACCTTATTTTCCCTTGGCTTTCGAAGTGTATAGCTGAGAAGCACAACGGAAGAGGGAATTTTGGAACGACCAACGCTCCCAGAGGCTGCTTGATCTACGATGACAGTATCTAATAGCAATACGGAATTACCAGCCAGGACAACTCATGAAGCCATTAGACAACAAGTGCGCATATTTATTTCCTCTGCACACTGCATCTTTCGATTACTGACCGTACAATTTCTCCCGTCGATATAAAAAGGTTCTCACAAATTGAATCCCCCTTCCTTTTCCGTGTTCACACACAAGCTTCTCTCTCCAACACATACGGACACTCACCACTCTTATACTGTCTCCACGCAGAAACCTGCACTCGCACATGCTCGTACACGTCCGCACAATAGGCATGTTATAGATGAAGCAAGTACAGTAATGTCGAGACACGCTGCAGAACTATACACCTGTCATGTTGAAATTGCCCCACTGGCATGTTTTATTTTATCATTCCTCTAATATCTCTTCGCTTGCACCACCCGGAATCTTCGGCACAATATCCCACCTCTTGAAGAGGCACACAAGCAACATGGCCGATTCAACAGCTATTGTTATACTACCATCTCAAATCTGATGGCAGGAATCACTGCTAGTGTCTTCCGCGTCAAGTTCAACAAGCGCATCTGTGGACGACTGGCCAGAAAGTGCCGTTGGGTTGAGCAACACCTAAAAAGCAGTGACCTGGGCTCTCCAGATGATCTTGCTCTGGAGGCACTCAGGGAGCTGCTCGAACAGTGTGCCAAGGATCTGAAGAAGTTCGCAGGCTCTGGGTTCCTTATGCGTATTATCAGAAGTGGTGGCATCCCTGAGATTTGCGAGATGCACATGGAGGAGCTGGATGACTGGATAGATAGAGTACAGAAGACGTCCCCCAAGACCAAGGACGATGCCGACTCTGACCTGGATGACGATGAGTTTGATCAAGACGACGCCATAAGATATGACATCGAAGTATCCAATAATCAGCACGACGCCAGGAAAGTATTTCTTTCTACCTTGGCACCTCCCAGACTTCAGGAACGAGCAATTGTGAACCCAGACCACCTCGGCCAGGACATAGAACTGGTCGGAACATTCTTGTTTGGCAACATCTACCGGGGAACGTACAAAGGAGATGCTGTTTATATCCGGGAGATAGGCAGCGATATCCACGAGGGATATATCAAGAACATCAAAGATGGCATCCTGCTGGCCCAGTGTCTCTCGGACTGCAGTAACCTCGTACGGATTTATGGCTTCTGCGGAGATCGAACAATTGTGACAGCCATGCCTGCCAACGGGCCCCTAAACGAGTACCCGGGCAAGCTGACTTCCCTTGAGAAGGTCACCATTGCACGCAAGGTTGCCGATGCACTGGTCTTTATGTACGATATCAAGGCAAACGCAAAACGTGTCGTGCACAGAGATATCAGAGCCGCCAATGTCTTGCTGACCGACAAGCTGGAGCCCATACTTACAGGGCTCGAGCTGTGCAAGGAGAAGAATAGTCTGGCTGGCGAACGTCCTGTCATGGGGGAAAGCATCAAGAGATGGTGGCCCCCTGAGAGGATACTGGGGTTTGGGATATCTCCAGGATCGGATGTGTACTCGTTTGGTGTTCTCATGTATGAGATCTCGACCGGCAAGGATCCAGAGCTTGACGCAGATCTTGTGGGGCTGGAGGGTAGCGGGATCTGTGCCGAATACACCGCACTGATGCAAAAGTATCTGCACCGATACTACAACGCGAGACCCAAGATAGATAAGGTATTCGAAGAGTTGTTATCCATAGAGACAAGTCTTAGGTAAAGAACCCATATTGAGTTGTCTCTATACATGTACCAATAAAAGAGAAGGGATTTCCGAACTGACCAAGAAGCATCGTTCGGTGCAGGGATATGCAGAACTTGATACGACCCCAAAGAAATGCGCTCAATCAAAGACGCGGTTTATCTAGGATCCGTTTAGCTTATATTGCACAGCCATCCCTCTCGTCAATGGACGCGCGTGTTGTAAGAAAAGCAATGGACGTCGTGTGTATCTCCGCTGACATACAGGAAACCAATTACAGTTAATATTAATTAGGGTGTTTTCAATTTTTTGCACGTACGCATTTTAGATACGCATTTATGTCCTCGGGCTGGTGTATTTCTGTCGTGCGCATTTTCAAAATTACTGAGTTTGAAACTCCCCTAATGTTCTGTCGAAGACTCGCCTCTGGACGATATGGATGTGTTCGTTGATTTCATAGGCTTGGGTTAAAACATAAAATACCAGTTCAATTGGATTGAATATGGGGCTGGGTCCTCATTTACGATCTCAAAATGGAGGAATTTTACGAGATTACACAGGTCTACAGAAAGGTATCGGAAAGCCTCTGATCAAGGATACACCTGGCACAGACTAATCTCGGACTTTATTTCTTACTGATAGCAAGGAGATCTCCCAGGGTTACGGCCTGACTCGAAAGACACTTAAAACGGCAGCTGACAATGGAGATACCAAAGCATGTACTCACTTGGCTTCTATGTACCTCCGCGGATGCGGCGTCGCTCAAAACAACGACGAAGCTATAAGATGGTATCTCGAGGCTGCCAAACGAGGGGATGTCGAAGCGCAGTGCTCCCTCGCAGACATGTATGTGACGGGTGACCGTGTCGAGCGAGACTATGATGAGGCCTACAAATGTATTTCGATGGCTGTCGAACAGGACTATGCACCTACACAGTACGAGCCTGGTATGCTCTATCTCCAAGGTCAAGGCATCTCTCGGGGCGGCTCCGAAGCAGTGAAATGGTTTCGCAAGGCTGTCGATCAAGGGAACCCTGATGCGCAACACCGGTTGGCAAACTGTATCTCAAAGGGAGGGGCGTTCGCAAAAACATGTCAGAGTATTACGTTCCTTCGCAAAGAGGCCGGCCAGGGAAATACTGAAGCTGGTGTCCCTTATGTTGCAGTTATAACACATATTGATTATTCATGCACATGCTGTTACTGTCAGTATTGGCTAATAAACGTAGAGCAGGTACCATGTTCGCCACTCTCTGGTCCAGGGGATGTTTAAATACAAGACGATTCTGATTTCTTTTTTTTTACCCCAATTTCTCTCACGCTGCCCCTACACCATCCAACTCCATTCCCACTAACACCCATAACCAAGCACACAAGCACGCTCGTATACATTGACATACGCTCCTACGCTTGCGATCGAGCGCACTTGCAGTCACCCACGCTTCTTTCACCAGGTAAGTCGATGACCAAGTAAAAACAGTAGCTCCCGGCGTCGACAGCTATTACTGGAGCCCCTAACATGTATTATGTGTCTGCTGCCATATAGGGCCTCACACCTTACTCCTATCTCTTTCATCGCTCCTGTGAACCCAGTTTTTTCTAACAGTAAGTGTATCCTGTTCCGGCAATGAACCCTCTTCCATGCTGGCAAAAAATACGTCTCAGAAACTAGATATGAATGTTCTTAAGCAATATACTAACAGACATATTTATATACTCTTAAAGAGTGACTTAACTGGCTATCACAAATGTCCGGAACTTTAGTAAATCGCCCGCCCGAGTCGTGGGGCAAATTGGGCGAGATTCCACCTCCTAGCCCTAAGACGTTCATTGGAAATGGAGCATTTGGCGAGGTCTATTGGTGGAACAGGGATGGAACCATGATGGCCGTGAAGAGGCTCAGAACAGCAGACGGGGACGATTGCGATATCAAGATGGAGGCAAAGATTGTATCTCTGCTCGCACATAGGCACATCATCCAGTGCTACGGTGTGGAGCTAGACGACCTCTACGCCTACATTATCACAGATTATGCTGCAGGCGGCAGTCTCACGAAAGCCATACCAAGACTGGATTGGAGCAACAAAAGAAGGATTGTGGCGGAGGTGGCTCGCGGACTGGGGTACCTTCATAGCATGGGTATCATTCACAAAGACATCAAAGGAGACAATATTTTGTTGACGGAGCACGACGAAGTCAGGTTATGCGACTTTGGACTGGCTAGTGTCATAAACTCTGCTGTTTCTGTCTCCAAATATGGACAAATGGGGACGCCAGGATATGCCGCGCCAGAACTGATGTCTACGAACCCCAAATTCTCAGACAAGTCCGACGTCTTTGCGCTCGGTATTGTGATGAGGGAGATGCTGGATCAGAACGCACCTCCGGACTACACTGTGCTTATGACCCGATGCATCGATGCGGATCCGAACAACAGGCCTACTACAGACGAGATCGAGGATGCGTTACAGGTTCCCGGGGTCCACAACGACGTTGGTGGAGATAGCGCGGACGAGACAGCGCATAACCTATCGGCCGACGATGAATATGATCTGGGACTGCGGCAATACAGCGGGGACGGAGTCAAGCGCAATCGTGCAGAGGCCGCAGAGCGCTTCCGGAGGGCATCGAACATGGGACACGCAAAGGCCCAGTATCAGTTGGCAGAGATGTACCGCACTGGAGATGGTATCCTACAGGATTACACTAAGTCTGTAGAATGGTACCGGAAGGCCGCTGATCAAGGATACGCCCCGGCACAGACTTGTCTCGGGCTTTTATTTCTTACCGGTAGCAATGGGGTTTCCCAGGATCACTGCCTCGCCCAAAAGACACTTAAAATGGCAGCTGACAATGGAGATACCAAAGCATGTACTCACTTGGCTTCTATGTACCTCCGCGGATGCGGCGTCGCTCAAAACAACGACGAAGCTATAAGATGGTATCTCGAGGCTGCCAAACGAGGGGATGTCGAAGCGCAGTGCTCCCTCGCAGACATGTATGTGACGGGTGACCGTGTCGAGCGAGACTATGATGAGGCCTACAAATGTATTTCGATGGCTGTCGAACAGGACTATGCACCTGCACAGTACGGTCTTGGTATGCTCTATCTCCAAGGTCAAGGCATCTCTCAGAGCGACTCCGAAGCAGTGAAATGGTTTCGCAAGGCCGCCGACCAGGGGAACCCTGATGCGCAACACCGGTTAGGCGTGTTGTATCTCGAGGGAAAAGGTGTTCGAAAGAATAAGTCAAAGGGCATGGTGTTGCTTCGCAAAGCGGCCGATCAGGGCAACATTGAAGCTCGCGTCACGCTAGCTTTCAACCGTTTGCTTCTTAAATATTATTAAAGTCTCCCATTCTGACCTATCCTACCTTCACTTTCGATAGTGAAATTTTGAATATAGTGACCCATGGCACTCGTCTCAGACAAAAACAAGACGCAGTTCATCTTGTAGAGAAGATGGTTCGTTGGAGTCCCCTTCGTTCCTCTCTACACTTCCACAACCGGTACTGCTCCTCACCCGGTTCCATTTCCATCTTAAAAATCTTCCTGCAGAGTTCCTTTCTCGTAATTATAGTATTTGCGATGGAGCCTGGTGTCCCTCTCTTCCTCTTTTTTTATTTTTATTTTCTGCAATACGCATATCGATCTGTAAGAGGAGTAATCGCGCAGTACGAAGTACAAGAGTCGCAAATAAATGTAGAGAAAAGAGTCGCGTCTACCTGAAGGAGCATCTTCCTTTCGAGTCATACCTATCATTGTATCATGCGTTATTCCTTGATTCAATCTACAAATCACTCCTCTTGAGCTAATTCAAGAGTACCACAATATAGTTCTTCGAATCAGAGCAGAATCATTTCCACGCACAACAGCTCCTCCACGACCCAATCCATTTTGGGCCTCGCGTTTTAGTATCGGTGCAGACACTTTTGCATCAGCGCGGTGTATTTGGCACAGATCCTGTTACCCTCCAGCCCCACAAGATCTGCGCTAAGTTCTGGCTCCTTGCCAGTCGAGATCTCATACATGAGAACACCGAACGAGCACACGTCCGTCTCTTGAGATGTTTCAAAATTCAGTATCCTCTCAGGAGCCCACCATCTCTTGATGCTTTCCTCCGCAGCGGACGTTGGGCCGTAATACGCCCCTCTTCCTTACATAACTCGAACCCTGTAAGCATGGGCTCCAGCTTATCGGTCAGCAAGACGTTGGCGACCCTGATATCTCTGTGCATGACACGTTTCGCGTCAACCTTGATGTCGTGCATGTAGACCAATGCATCGGCAACCTTGCGCGCAATAGTGATCTTCTCAAGGGATGTCAGCTCCTTGCCCACCATGACACCTATGTCGTCTCGCTCGATGATACGACACGTGAACTATACCCTGGGATACTACTGTGAGCAGAGCGAGCGAGCGACTCGCTTGAGTGAGCGACCAGCCAAAAATGTATGTTGCTCGCTCAAATTACATAATCTTTCTGTTGCCAAGGAAGTTCTGGTGTCAAAAAAAAGGTGCTACTATGCGTGTATTATAACATGACTCTATGCACAGCGGTCTTTGTTGTGAGCGATGAGCGAGCGATCTCGAAAAAAAATTCGTCGCTCACGTTAGTATCCTGGGGTAGCTAGTCCTGAACTTGACGCCACCCTTCCGTGCCGCGCTTTGAACGTACTGTCCAGGTCCTCCAGGTGCTGTTATCAGGCCTTGGATCGACCACACGTATCGTCCATATATGCTCCCAGTGCAGCCCTGATAAGGACTCGGACATGAATCGGCTGAATGTGTAAGACGCGTTCTCCAAGCCGAAAGGCATCACATTGTTGGTGGAGGTTTCGAATGGTGTTGCTGTGTAGCTGCTGGGGAGCACCGATGCACCGCTTATCGGTGGGAGGATAACCCCAATTGACTCTGACGGGGATGAGTTAACGCTGCACTGCAGGGCTTAAAGAGGATAGACTCCTTTTCCCAGTGTAACCAATGGCGGAGAGTGTAATGGATGCAAATGAAACGCTGCAGGGGGTGGGCACGCCAATCAAAGGAGGGGTCAAAGCGTAACACAAAGAAGATTACACCCGGAAGCATAGCAACTGCAACAGCGGTTGTTCATGCTCAGTGGGGGCTACAAGAATAGGGCGCTTTTAAAAGTATTGATGCGACGAGTATGACAGGGCGGCACCAGAGCTGTTGAGGGGGATGCCAGTGCGTGCAGGATAGCGATGCACAGTGAAGAAAAGACCAAGGCCTGCCCTGCTTTTTATTCCCACCCCACTACGCCCACAATGACACAGTGCTCAAAGCCCCAGGTACTACAGATTCGATCACATAATAACCTGAGACCCAGCCAAGCCACTAAGTACTCGTACCCTGCAAGCTCGTCTGGATGTTTAGCAAAGGCTAGATCTTCCTCTCGGTAATCTTGTTCAACCCGACATGTGCAATTCGTTTGCGGATGAACCCGTCCTTCTTCGTGGTCAAGGTTGGCGGAGCGTATCACTCTCTCTCCACCTCTACAATCCTCCCGGTCCGCGACTCTCCTTCAATGTTCTTCCTCTAGTAGTCAAGGTCCTTTAGCGAGTAGTGCGGTGCTCACCTAGCATAGATCGCTTTCACTCCGTGAGCGACGTTACTCTTGTGCCCCATAACCGTAGTCACCTCTAGATCCTCTATATTCATGGAGACATGCTGAAGAAGCTTGTGTGTCGAGAGCGTCGGAAGATGTGAGTCACCGGGAAGTGGGCTATCCATCTAGGGTTAGGGGGGGCGGGGGCGGATTGTTGCAATTGTTGCCAAGAAATGGTATAAAGTTTTGGGAAGCAGCCTATATGAAAAGAAGGCCTTTTTACAAATATCAATAATGAAACGTATCTCCAGTAGACTATGTATGGTTCTCACTCCGCGGCCTGAAGCAACATGATCATTGTGCAACATTGAATTGGCGAGGCGAAATTTTACGCCATGTAAACAAGCATCATACGACAGACAACAGTCATCTCCAGCTCTTGAAGTTCATTATAAGTGTCGTCAAAGCCCGAAAGTATCTAAACTGGGCCGGGTTGCCAATCGTCGTGGTGTTCAAGGGCCTGATAGCGGAGCACTACCTCCAGGCGCCATATGTATAGCATAAATATGCTTTAGTTTCCCTTGGCTATCGAAGCGTATAACTGAGCTGCACAGCAAGGAGTGGGAGGCTGATCTGCACGGTAGTCCCGTTTAGATATGGCATGCTATGAAGATGGGACGAGGCTGTATTTATCTCCCTCTAATTTTCCCGTTGACATAAAAGGGTTCCCACAAATCCTCTTCCTTGTCTTCACACAAAGTTTCCCCTCTAATACATACCCGCGCCCTCAAACACTCCCGCGCTCGCACACATTCGCACACGCTCGCACACGTCCGTACAATAGGTATGTTATAGAGCAAGCAAGTGTAGCAGTGTCGAGATATGCTTCTGGACTTGAGAACCCCTGGCAAGAATTGTACACCTGTCATGCCGAAGCTACCCCACTGACATGTTTTATTTTATCATTCCTCTAATATCTCTTCGCTTGCACCACCCGAAACCTTCGGCACGTTATCTCGCCCCTTGATAGAGGTCTACAAGCAATATGGCTGATCCAACGGCTATTATATCCATCATCTCAAGCTTGGTGGCAGGTATCGACAGCAGCGTCTCTCGCGTCAAGTTTAACAAGCGCATCTGTGGACGACTGGCTAGAAAGTGCCGTTGGATTGAGAAACGCCTGGAAAGCGGTGACCTGGGCTCTCCAGATGATCTTGCTCTGGTAGCACTCAAGGAGCTACTCGAGGAGTGTGCCAAGGATCTGAAGAAGTTCGCAGGCTCTGGGTTCCTTATGCGTATTATCAGAAGTGGTGGCATCCCTGAGATCTGTGAGATACACATGGGAGAGCTGGATGACTGGGTAGGCAGAGCACAGAAGACGTCCCTCAAGGCCAAGGACGATACCGACTCTGACCCGGATGACGACGAGTTTGATCAAGACGACGCCATGAGATACGACATTAAAGTATCCAATAATCAGCACGATGCCAGGAAAGTATTTCTTTCTACCTTGGCACCTCCCAGACTTCAAGAACGAGCAATTGTAAATCCGGACCACCTCGGCCAGGACAGAGAACTGGTCGGAACATTCTTGTTTGGCAACATCTACCGGGGAACGTACAAAGGAGATGCTGTTTATATCCGGGAGATAGGCAGCGATATCCACGAGGGATATATCAAGAACATCAAAGATGGCATCCTGCTGGCCCAGTGTCTCTCGGACTGCAGTAACATCGTACGGATTTATGGCTTCTGCGGAGATCGAACAATTGTGACAGCCATGCCTGCCAACGGACCCCTAAACGAGTACCCGGGCAAGCTGACTTCCCTTGAGAAGGTCACCATTGCACGCAAGGTTGCCGATGCACTGGTCTTTATGTACGATATCAAGGCAAACGCAAAACGTGTCGTGCACAGAGATATCAGAGCCGCCAATGTCTTGCTGACCGACAAGCTGGAGCCCATACTTACAGGGTTCGAGCTATGCAAGGAAGAGGGGTGTATTACAGCCCAACGTCCCGCTGCGGAGGAAAGCATCAAGAGATGGTGGGCCCCTGAGAGGATAGAAGATTTTGGAACATCTCCAGAGACGGACGTGTACTCGTTCGGTGTTCTCATGTATGAGATCTCGACTGGCAAGGAGCCAGAACTTGGCGCAGATCTTGTGGGGCTGGAGGGTAACAGGATCTGTGCCGAATACACCGCGCTGATGCAAAAGTGTCTGCAGCGACGCAACAACGCGAGACCCAAGATAGATAAGGTATACGAGGAGTTGTTATCCATAGAGACAGGTCTTGCGTAAAGGACCCATATTGAGTTGCCTCTATACATATACCAATAAAAGAGAAGGGATTTCCGAACTGACCAAGAAGCATCGTTGGGTACAGGGATATGCAGAACTTGATACGACCCCAAAGAAATGCGCTCAATCAAAGACGCAGTTTATCCAGGATCTGTTTAGCTCATATTGCGCGACGATCCCCCTCGTCAATGGACGCGCGTGTCGCAAGAAAACCAATGGACGTCGTTTTTGAGATCTGCGTCATATATTTATTGTCATCTATTCTTCGATCCTATGCAACCTGTCTACATCCCTTAGAATCTTCTTGCAGCCTTGCAGCACTCGACCGCGCTTTCGAATGCGTTGGTGCCTGCCTCCTGTCTCGCAGAACTCCTTCCCTGCTTTTATCTTTGCCCAGGAATCTGCTCCCTCAACCGCTTTGCAGGCCCATGCCTCTGCCTCGAAGCCGTCCTTACTGACAAAAAATTCGTTGAAGTATGCTTCTGCCGGCAGATGATATGCTGGGAGAAATCCATCTGCAGATGTCTTTTGAAACCACTCCACAGCCTCCAGTTGAGCTTGTCTGTCGTCATCGTCCAATCCCACGCCGTTAATGCTCTCATCTTCTTGGTATGCCTTCTGATAGCACTCGACGGCCATCAGCAGATCTTTATTCATCCCCAGCCCGCTGCCGTACATGTTGCTGAGGCAGTATAGGGCCTGGATGCTCCCACTTTCTTTCACCTTGAGAAATCACTCCGTTGACTCGGGATAGTCTAGTTCCATGCCGATCCCCTCATAGCACATGTAGCCGATGTTTAACTTGGCATCTGTCGATCTGCCACTGCCTGATTTGAGATACCAATCCATCGCCTTATAAAAGTCCTGCTTCACACCGAGGCGATGGTGGTACATGTATCCAATATTGAGGTTGGCGTCTAGATCTCATGCGTCGCTTACCTTTACATACCACTCCGTAGTCTTAGTGTAATCCTTCCCTACGCCACGGCCATCGCGATTCATGAGACCGACCATGTACTTGGAGAGGACAAACCCACCATCGCTTGCCACGAGAAATCATTCCATAGCCTTGGCATAGTCTATCTCCACGCCGAAGCCACTGTAATACATGGCGCCGATGTTGTGCTTGGCCCCCACCACTCCGTCGTTACTTGCCATGACAGACCACTCTATAGCTTTGACAAAGTCCTTCTGTATACCAAGCCCAGAAAGTTACATGCTCCCAATGCTATACTTGGCCAACGCTAGTCCAGCATAGCCTGCCTTGAGAAACCACTCCATAGCCTTGCTAAAGTCCTGCTTCATGCCAAAGCCAGTATCGTACATATGACTGATGCTGTACTTGGCGTCTGTCGATCCGCCATTACTCGCCTCGAGACACCACTCCATAGTCTTAACGTAGTCTTGTTCAATGCTATGGCCGTTAAAATACATGATGCCGATGTTGGACTTGGCACTCGGATCTATAGCATCGCTTGCCTTGAGATACCACTCCATAGCTTTGGCATAGTCCTGCTTTACGCCGCGCTCCTCGATGTACAAGTGACCGAGATCGCGTTGAGCATCCTCATTCTCTAGCTCATCAGCCGTCAGAAAGTATTTCATATTTGTCGAGGAGGATATTGGCGTTCTTGATGTCACAGTGGATAATGTCCAAGGTGTGGAGATAGGTCAGACCCGGCGAGACCTGCTTCGCGATCAGTATCCTGGGTTCCCATCCCGAGATAGAATCACTTGAAATAGCGTATGATACGCTGCCGCCCTCAAGATACTCCATCACCAGCTAGCCTTCTCGAAAATGATAGAACTGGACAATGTACCTGTTGAACACCTGCTTGAAGATGGCCGCCTCGCACCTACAGTCCTCATGTTTGGGGTTCAGGAACCTCTTGACCACCACAGTCTCGCGTCCGATCTTGGCCTTGAAGGTCTCTGCTTGGCCTCCATGGCCTATTTTCTCTCCTAGTATGATACCTTCCATCTTGTAAGGGGAGATTTGGTGAGTGGGCGAAGAAGGTGTTGTATAGTGGGTTAACACCGAGGAACGCAGTTGGCCAAACAAGCGGTGTTGGACACCTGTTAGACCAAGGAACTTCGGGTTGAGCGACATCTCCAGCAAATCATCAAAGTACCAAACCTACGTTGTTAGCGAGGGGTGGCTGCCGCGGGCAATACAGAGCAAGTGTGTAGGGAGGATGTATAAAGTGCTGTAGAGATAGAAAGGAGAAATGGGAGGAAGAACAAAGAGAAGAAAAAAGCATGCGCAAGAGGGGACTTTTGTCTAATCCTAAACCAAGCTCTCCCCTGGAAAACATTGCCTCTCAACCAACATCTCTGACTTTGCCTTCGACAGTAGAAGCAACGGCTGTCATTTGTGTACCGCAAACGTGTATGCATTTGAGTCGACAAAGCAGATATGCTATACTATAAACACGAGGGGCATCAGTTGAATACCGAAGGCATTCGGTTGCGAGTTCAAAATATATCGCTGTAACATGCAAACAGTATTTGTAAACTACCATCTGTAACTCTAAAGGTCATACCCAGGCGCCTGTAGAGATAGAGTATCGGTTCCTAGCGCGATCTGCGCTTCAACAGGACCCTGATCCGCCACCGTACGAAGGAGCGCAAATGTCCCTCCCCTTTCCTCGAAGATACAGTCCAGCTAACCAGCTCACAATCCCTGGTCAGCGGCCTTGTGAAACTATTTTCAGGGCCTTGGAATCGCTCTGAGTAAAGACCACCCAGGCTGGGCTGTACAGATGCATTTCCCTGTTCAGTAGACTTAAACCCCATCCGCAGCTTCAGAATAGTTCTTTTCCTCCATTTAGGATACTCCAAACATTAACTGTACTACCGCGTCTCATCCTTCAGTACCAGGAGGTATGCTAGGCATGGGTTACATGTTTTTACACCATTATCTGTCTGAGGCGAAGCATCAATGATGCTGAGGCTAGTAAAAAGGTGCAAAAACCCCATGCAGACAGACGAGTGAATGAGCCCTCTTTGTGTTGCTATCGAGCATTCCACGCGTTAGCTGGTCAGCTTGAGAGGGGAGTATATCGCTCTTCTGCACTACAGCCCATTTTTCTATGGTAGAGGGCTTAAATTGTGGCATGCGGTAGAAGTACTCTTACCAGATTAATAGTTTCTTCCAACGTGTCTCTCGAGAGATCAGCTCCCGTTGAATGCAAGTGTGCGAGTAAAGACTGAAGGTAGAGTCAGAACTGGGATGGATCGCATGTGCACTAGCAGTTGCTGTCGATAAAAGACAATGTCGCTGCTATCACTCACACCTCTTTTCTTTCTAGCACCATCCGATGCACTGTGCTTGGAGTGCATTGAATACAATAGTATGCGATAATCGACTCGCGTCAAAGATATGCCTGATGTCAGCGCGTTTCTAGCGAGACGAGAAGTCACGCAAGTACGTTTCCTATTTCTCTCTCTCTTCTGCTGCAAATCCTGACATCTTGCCCAAGGAGGAAAAGGACGTGATCTCTCGCCTCGCGCTATCTCCAAACTGTATCGCTAGAGATGTCGTTGTACATTGGGATTTAAAAATGAGGAGAAGAATAGAGGGCACAGTTTTTATTTTCTGAACTAATTCATGGATTTATATTGCCTGTCCTCACTCAGTCCTCCTCTTCCTCCTCTTCACTAGTTTCTGCGTCCTTGTAAACCGCAGTCTTAGCTTTGGCGGCCCTCGATGCCATCCTACAAGCACGAGTTGAGGAATTAAAAACAAATAAAGATAAAAAAGAAATGAACGTGTCAGCATAGGACAAAGAACTAAGTGATATGATCATGCCCAAAGACAGAAAATTCATTCCACGACACCTTCTTGTCGGCTCCTCTGGGATGCGCTCAGCAACTTTGGTCTTCTTTGGTCGTTTAACTCTGGCCGATAAAGAGATGTTCTCGTCTCTGTCGGCACCATCCACCTCATCTTCTTCCATTGAGGATGGCGATCTTGACCGACGCTTGACTGCCTGACCAATCTTTCTATCGACAATAGTCTTGGGTTTCCGCTCGGCTTTGTGTTCGCGAGCACGTATCCACTCTTCAGGGAGATAGGACCTTGTTGAAATCTATGCACAATTCAGAGTATTCTGGCTGAGTGAGTATTGCTATAAAGCAATTAAACATACGTGCATTTTAAATGGGACAGCGAGAACATACCTCAATTGATAGTTCATTCTGATCGAGAGGTATGAACAGTTCGCGAGGGAGCTTGACCTGACCAGGGTAGCTGGTCAATGTCCAGTTGTGCGATCGACTTCTCTCCTGAATCAGATACTGAGCAAGGTCGCTCAAGACATAAAGATTCTAGCACAAAAGATAAGCATTGCCGATCATGTCAGTCGATGAAACGATACACAGCGACTTGAGGCTGCTGCGCCCGAATTATGCGACTATGTAGCATACCAGTGTAGGCTCGTTAATGTTGGCAAATCGAACGGTCTTCAGAAGAGAAGCGATGTAGTACACCAGAGAGACATTCTCAGAGTTGGCCATTGTCTCCAAATAAAACTCAATGTACCTATGACATTCACGATGAGCAGTTAGAAAGATCATTCCGATATTAAATGCTACCCAGATCGGTAACATCCCAAGAATAAAGGATCGCCTACCTAGCAGACAAGTTCAAGTCCTCGATAGAGTGTGCCGGCTGGCCATTTGCGAGTCCATTTTGTGCGGATTCATCCTTTAGGATAAAGTCAGGGTGGTTTGCCAATAAATGCATCACTCTGGCTAGCGTCAGCTCGTTCAGCATCAGCTTACTATCTGATAGGAGTTGGCATGCACAAAGGAGTTCAAACGTCAGCAGGAAACAGCGGAGAAAATTGATCTCAGTGTAGCCGTTAGTGAAGATCGAAAACGTACCGTTGTTTTGGCTTTTCGACTGCTGGATCAAGAAGCTACGGATCTGCAGTCTCCACTCCAGCTCTGGTTCATAGGCAGCCAGAATCAACACAGCCAGATACCGAATATGCAATTCCTGTGCGCGAAGGTACTTCATGATGCGACTCGCCAGTCCATGGCGGACCCGGAATACGGTATCCTGAATAACGAGTGCCAGACGGCTATAATCAGACACCGACACCATCTTCTCGTACATGGGCCTGTTGCGCGTCAGCTTTATTACAAAGCGAGCAGCATTCAGTCTCAAATGGCTTTTCAGCACAGCACTATTGTGTTCAGACGCATAAGCTGTTAAATGAAAAATCTTGCTTTTGAGGTCGTTCACGACATATTTATATTCATGTCATCATGGATACTACGACTTACTTGGTATTCTTTTCATCCACGATCTCTCCTTCCTGGCTAATAATAGTCCAGAGCAGTTTGAAGACGGGACGTACAGCATCTTGTGCTAATGTTGGATCGCTGTCGTGTAATACAATGGCTCGGTTGACCAATACCTTAAGGCCCATAATCTAGTAGTGTCGCACAACTTGGATGTCAGCTCATAATTCTTTCCGAAAACACACATCTTTTTCGAGGAAGAACTCAAAATGCATACCTTTGATAGTGAATATTCGTCCAGATCCTGCTTATCAACCCAGTCCTCTGTCGGTTCGTACACGGTCTATAGTGCACAAAGAATTAAAAAGAATAAAAAAAATATACGTTAGTTAACTATAACCATAAATTTGCACACCGCGCACAAGCGCGACGTTGGCAACCGCATTACCTCCTGCTCCAATGTGTTCGTCATGAGTAACCTCTTGATAATGAACGATACTATAGAGCTGCCGACTGTCTCAAAGATCTGAGGCGAGTACAATACAAACTGCGATAGAATAGCCAGATCCTTCAGCAGTCGTGTTGAGGATATCAACAGCCTGTCGACGATGGTGTCCACGATCTCTTTGCACATCTTGTCATTGTTGGGTATGCTGGCGAGGATAATGGTAGCATGGGTCGCCTGCACGACAGTTCCAGATTCAAGGAATGAATGAAGCGTTTCCTTGGCTTTTGTATCTGCTGGCACCGACTTTGGGAACTGCTTTGCGAATTCCGACAATGTGTATAGAGAGTCGGAGGCGCCTGCAAACTCGGGATCGCGAAGCAAGAACACGATTTCTGCCAAATGATCCTTAAAGATGGCGGGAATGATAAGTGAAATTGACCGCAGCAGTTCTCCAGCGACTTCTCGGAATTCATCACTCTCGCGGATATTCCTGATCAGCTCTGAAAGAATTTCCGAATTCACTAGAGTCAAACTGATCCTTTGAATAAGAATTGAAAACACCTCCAACGTTGGTGGAGCGACATCTCCAATTCGCGAAAGTGTTTCTTTCTAAAAAGGCGTAGTGAAACCAATTATATTAATAATTTATATTAATAAAGGAAAAAATAGAAGCGACATTGATACGTTCAATAAGACTGATGATAGCTTACAGCTGCTTTCTTGATCTCCTTTAGAGAGAGTTGCGAGTTCATGCAGTCCGATATCGACTTGAAAAACTTTTCATCGTGTAGCTGTGCATATTTATGAAGTAGTAATGAGCTCTTGATCGGATCTGGCAAGCGATCTGGTCGATTGCAGGGGATGTTAGAATGAATTCGAGCTGGAGGTCCTTCATTTTCGGCGTCAATGACCCTGGAAGTAGCATACCGCAAAGGATCTTGATGACAACGCCCAATTTCTTTTCGATTTCGTCCGAATCCGTGCTTGCGATTGGAGATGCCTGTCAAATTGGTACAGGATAAAATCTCAGTCTTGAAGGTGTCGCAATATCAGTTGCAAAGGCACCGCAAAGAATTTAAGACCTCACCTCCCGAGCTTTTAGCAGTTGCAGGAACACGTTCATGTAACGTCTCGCGCTATTGATGCAAATAATATCGCATAGACCATAGTTAGTATATAATGCCTCCAGTTACAAACATATTGTAGCGACACATATACAAAGATCATTCATTACTCGACGCTTCTGCGGAGAACAGAGAGGAATCCTGTCCGTCCTTTGTCATCCAGAGCAGAGAACGTAGTAAGAAGACGTTGTGTCCTTGATGCAGCACTTCCATGAGGTGGGAACAATGTAGTGTAAACCGCGTTGTCGACATATGAGCTAAAAATTGATCAGAAGAAAAGTCAAGATCTTCGATCTGAAGGCCACAATAGAATTACCGCTTCATGATGATGGATTACTTACAAGATTTCGTTATCATTAACATATACTGCGTGCAAAATCGCAGAGGGCATCCAAGCAAATTGAGAAATACTGGCTTGCGCTCCGATCTCACTGTATTGATGTGAACGAATATTAAACATGGCGTCAAATGCAAGAGAGATGTACGAAAGCGTAGGATACAGCAGTGCGGTGATACATACATCTCAGGGTATGCTTGGTTATAAAGAATGGAAAGTGTATGGATGGCCTCTTTCGACACTGATTTCTAAGAGAGAAAAAAATAATGAAAATCAGTATACTACCATGTGTATTCCAGCATAGTTACTCCACAGCTGCAGTCGACAAAGTCCACATACTTTCTTGTCTCTGCATCGGTGGCCGACTTGGATCAAAGTATTCTTCTGAATATGGTGGAGACTGGTCTCGTAGTCAAACTCTCCAATAACTTTGCAGGCTACGGCGCGCACCTTTTCGTCCGGGTCTACCAGCTTTTCGGCGAGTCCCTCTATAAAATCAATCCTGGCGTGTCAGAAGATGCTGAAAAAATGGGTGCGAGATAATCCAGGGTAGCGTACCATATTCTCTCTATTTCCAGATTGCTTACCACTCAGCTCTTTTCCCAGATGGCCATGCATCTTAATCAGGTCCACAAGTGATTCAATCCAGACAATTCGGACCTGTGTAGCTTTATCGTTGCGCCTCTGCAGCCACGCCTTCCATGTTGACTCATATTGCGTAGCTAGCTGGGATGTTTTCTCCGCAAACATTTCGCCCAAAGATTTTGTTGCCAATGTCCTGATTGTAATGTCAGATACCTTTGTGCGATAGGAAAATAAGTTGTTATCAATGAGGATGGCCCATTAATCCTAGAGTAATGACGCGGTAAAAAATGCAATACACATACCTTCAGTTCCTCTTCAAGTTGCGGAATGACGTTCAGTAGGAGCGCTGGCGCTGCCTTATTGATCTCGACAACCAGGTGGTGCACAGTCTTGAAGTCTGACAGATCCTTTGAGCTGAGCTCTCCGTTGCCTGCGACCGAGATGACATCTGAAAAGTACTGGAACACATATCTCTGAAGTTTTTCCGCGCAGTTGTTGCCCAAATCACAGGCAAGTCGGTATGCTGCTGGGTTATCGAATTTTTGCTTGTGAAGGAATTGAGCAAGGATGATGTCGACGATCTCCTGAGGCAGTTGATCCGCTTCATCGATAATGTGCTGCAAAAGCTCGGACATGCAGATTTGTACATTTTTTGATTGCTCTGGCCTATTTCGGATTTACGATGAAATAAAAGTACGTGTTTAATACAGATGCCATGTATTGCAACAGGGATGATGCGAATCAAGGGTCTGTCAGAAGATACATACCGAATGTCGTCAAAGATGTTCCTGAATAAATCGACCATGAGCTCATTCGCGTTCTTGAGATCGGTAATCAGTACAATGCTCTTGACAACCGAGAGCGATTCCAGGAGATAGAAATACATGCTGAAGTAAGGGCCTGCCAGGTTGAGAAGGTGTCGCATCTCGTTCACAAACAGTTTAAAGATGGTCTATTAGACAAGGCAGCAATACGTGATTAGACAGAGGTAGTCAAAATAACTGTACTGCCTTCAGACACAGTAACAGCTTCTGATTGCGTACTTGGAGGTTGTTGTTCGTGTAAGGAGCATCAGGCGCATAAAGTCGGAGCATGTCAGCAATAGAACAAGCGGCGTAGATCCTGACACCTTTGTCCTTATGGTTTATAATAGAGGGATCAATGAGCTGCTTAGCGGCTGACGAAAGCGAGGTCTTATCAACGGCTTCTTGCTCCATTGCCTTGAGCTCTTCATGCAGTTCCTATAAACCGGAATACAGAGGCTAGGTTATCATAAAACTTCAACAGCTCTAGTACCTTTTCAACATGGGAGAGAACAAATAAATACCTTGAGTTTCTTAAGCAACTCAGCCGCGTTTCCAGTCAGTTTCTGACGGAACTGCAGTGCTCGAAGACCTGAAGTCACCATGGCTTGAGTAAGGACAGCAAAAGTTGAGAAGGTCTGGGGAGGAAATGAGAGAGATGAATGCAGTGGCAAAGTGATTCCAAAAACGCGTAAAATTGGTGGCGCCAAAGAAAGAGTCGCATTTGTGTTTACGAACCTACATTAATCGTGGTCACTGTCGCCCCTCTATAACGCGTCGCAAGTGCACCAAACAAACCACCTACGACCCGCCCAGGATCCTTGTAGTCATGGAGACGACACCAAAAGCAAAGTTTGCCGACATTCAATCTGTACCGGACACAAAGATTTTCTCTGTCGAGTTCCCAGGACATGTGCAGAATCTCGACAAAGTCAAGGAAGCCCTAGGAGGAGATCAGGCCATAGCGAATGCAAGTACTTTTCACGAGGTGTAGGGGGAACATGGCAGCACACCGGCACATACCGCATCCCGAACTCACTCTCGCAGATACTCCCCAATCATGTCATGGATTTCCAATAGGCATATCATGGAGGGGCACCACTGGACCTTCGGTACAGAATCAAGGATCCATTTTCAATACCCATTCAAGGGGAGACCATCTCGACCCCAAACTTGCTCATGAAGGCCACCAAAAGATACAGAGTCAAGCGCCCCCTAGGAACACAACGATCTCTTCCGCCATATCGTGCGCCAACAGAAGCGGACGAACCGTACGATGAAGACGAAGAACCAGAGTATCGATTTGAGATGGTTGGCGCGATCCCAAAGACAGTGAGGTTTGGCGGTTTGGCGGATTATCAGCATATCGTGGATCCTCGAGACGAACTTGTGCAGATCAAATCGGACCTGCAGAATATGGAATGTACGTAAATAAGCGTGCATCGCTTTGAGATATCGGCACTGGCTGCAGACGAAGGCTCTTGTTAGCGAACATAGCCCCGACTAATGACGCTTTTTTTTTTTATTACTTGACATGATAGATGAGCAACTCATTTCCATCAAGGTTGATAACACCCATCCAACCGAGGACCTTTCAACCCTGCAACTGCTACCGCCACCTGCGGTCGCGAAGGCACCAGTTCCCATGCCATTCAAGTATGTTTCAAAGATCATACTGCTAGAAAAGTACATCATTGTTCGGGCTCAGTACTGACTGACTGCTTACGATTCTCAATTATCGCCTACAACTCATAGATACAAAGCCAGGGGTCGCGACGATGTAAGTTGTGGCTTTACGGCTCTACGGCCTGCTGAGATGTAGCTGAGAAAGTAAATATCTGACAATGCTATCGTTTACTTTTATCCCTATTATAGGAACCAAAAAATCCACCAGGAAGGCAATCAAAACGAAAGGCACGTCCGGGCGAACTGGCAACAACTGTCGACTTCCTTAGTGGAAACAGTGATGATGATGAACCTCCAAAATAAAAGACTTTTGCTTCGAATGCAGAGTATTTTATTACATGACTATTGACTTGACTGGTTGGGGTTTTGCGTCGGAAAAAGCGGTGACAGTAGGTTCATGATCTGCTGTTGCTGTTGCTGATGCTGCTGCTGACTGCTGTCAACCGGTGGTTGCTGTGGAGCATACGAAGCCTGCTGCGGATTAAAAGCCGCATTCATTGGGAGCGAAAGCTGTGGTTGTTGTTGCTGCTGTTGTAATTGGCCCTGCGGTTGCTGTTGTTGCGGTTGTTGCAACTGTTGCTGTTGCTGCTGGAGCCTCATGATGGTGGCCTGCGCTTCCTGAATCTGCTTTTGATAGAGGGCTTGCTGCTGTTGTTGCTGCTGGAAAAGTTGCTGCTGTTGCTGCTGCTGCATCAAGAGCTGCTGTTGGATTTGCTGCTGTTGTTGAAACTGTATCATGGCCTGCTGCTCCTTTTGCTGCTGCTGTGCGAGGCTTGGTATCTGGTTCCGCTGTGTGCCTCCTATCATGTTTTGGATTTCCCGCTGTTGCTGCTGATACCATGGAACAGTGCTAGTAGCTGCTCCTGTCGTCTGGGATGCTCCTGGCACCCCTGACATGGTACCCGGACGCTGAAGAATCTTGTAGTCGTCATCGAACGTGGGCCTGCGTGGCAGCGCTATGGGCCTCCGAGGGGCAGGTGTTGAGAAAGAGGTCGCCGAAGGTACCCCTCCCATCATGGCCTGCATTGCAGCAGAGGTATCGGCGGCCATTTGGGGAGCTTTCCGATCCTTGTTGCCCTTCTTCTTGTTCTTTGCTTGCTTCAGCATCCGCTTATGTTCCATCTCTTGTTCATCGTCAGAAAACTCCATCTCAACCTCGTCCACCTCTTCGTCGTACTTGTTGCTGGCATCGCTCCCCTTCAACGCCTTCAGCGGCCCTGTCAACACAAACGAGCTGTACTCTGGAACTGTGTAAACAATGCATCCAGTTGTACAGATGGCGGGAATCTCTGCTGCAGTGTTGAATCGAATAGAATATAGTGGTCTTGCAATTGGTCCAAAGGTCTCGAAAATCTAATGCAACCAATGTAGCATGCGTGTTAGAGAGCTTCTCTTCAAGTTACAGCGCTGATCAAGCAAACAGAGCGAACGTGGGCATATGGTAAAGACATACCTCTCCAAGTACTTCTCTAACTGTCTCCTCATCCCCATTTCCTTGTTTCACGACTGCGGTTACCGTTCCTGCATCTAAAACACGAACCTCGCCACTGGAGGCAGCCTGTACGACTACTACGTTCTCGACAATGGTCATGATTTTGCCGATCGGTTCTAGTTTCGTGTCTGGCCCCAGTACGATATCTGGCTTCTTGACTTCTGGCAGTTGAAGGATCTCGTTTGCTGTGTGCAGGATGCCGTCGTGCCCAGTTTCCTCGTCATCCATGGCGTCAAGATCTGTTAATGCCTTCTCGCGTTGCTCGATAGTCATCGGCCTGTTGCGCATGCCTTTTGTGCCAGAGTCAGAGTCAGAGTCAGAATCAGAATCAGAATCAGAATCGGACCCAGGCGAATTTCTAGAGAGAAGCGAATCCTGGTTATTATCTGGATGCTGGAGTACGGATCATGAGCGATCACAAAATACGGTATGCACTGCTTACGATTCGTCGTCCTGATCATCATCGCTTGACTCCAGATCACTCGACTCGTATCCTGCATCCTTTATTTCATTCCCTGCAAGTGCAGCATCGATTCTCTCCTCCGTAGTGATCGTCGTGTCAAGAGAGCTTGCTGCAGCTGGAGTATCAGCAATGGAAGAGTTCTGATCATGGATATACAATGTCCCAGTGCCGGGCTGTGTTGCTGTTGATGGTGCAGTCGATACTGGTCCATGGTCTATTGAGATATCTGCGGGAGGCTCGTTTATATGGCTGTCGACGTCCATGCTGTCGCTGGTGGCAACAGACAATTGCTCGTTGGTGAAGGCAGGTTCGACAGGTGGAATGGGAAGCCCGGCAACGACGGTGTGGATAGGCGCCTGACCCGTTTCCATGAGCATATCCTCCTCGACAAAGCCCTCGGCTCCATGATTTTCCACGTCCATTGTATCGTTGAGTGAGTGTATTATAAGCGGCGTAAGCGGAGAGATGTTCAAGGAAGGGGCGAGGTGTGGAAGGCACTTTTTTCTTTTCTTTTTTCTTTTTTTTTGTAGTAGCATTCAAAGTGGCTTTCGTCGGCGGCGAACAACAACAGTCACCTCCCTTCACCTTCCTGATCTCGGACTTGACACGACTGATCAGCATCCTCCTGTTCACTCTTCAAGCAGTCGCCAGCATCATGATCTCCATCAAGCTTGCACGCCACGGTCTCAAAAATACACCATTCTACCATATTGTGGTGCTTCAGAGCCGCTCCAGGCCCACAAGGAAACCCATTGAGCAGCTCGGCACATTCAACCCGCTTCCAGACAAGAACGGTACCAAGGCGGTTACCCTCGACTTTGAACGTGCAAAGTACTGGATCAGCGTTGGCGCAAAGCCAAGCGACACTGTCTCCCGTATTCTAGCCAAGGTATAGCGATAATGGACATGCTTGCTTACCGCTCGTCTAGTGCCTGAACATGGGGGTTTTCTTAGGAAGGTTATTCAAGCTGCTAGCTAACACACCAATGCTGTTGCGGTTGTAATAGGCTGATATTATCCCCCCAAAGCCAAGACCAGGAATGCCCAACCCTGCACCTTCGACTCCCGTCAAAATCTCCCCAGCTCCTGCTGCACCCACCACCCCATCTGCATAATTCCATTCTAGAGCCCTCCTTCTCCCCCGCCTCGCTTTTGCTTCTTTTCGTTCTTCACATGTATTAAAGCCAACTTTTCATCAGCAGGAAATCTGCAGGGAGTGTTCGTTAAGTATTAAACAGGACCTGAGAGCGGTCAACGCGCAGCAGCAACAGGAGCAAGAACAGGAGTGCAGGCAATCTGGATTGAAAGGCGGCAATGGAGAGCGCGTGCAATGCACACGAAAGTATTTATACGTGCAAGAGTGCACTGTGCATGAGCGCTATTATACATCAACTCAGGAATGCAATCGAGGACCTCGGTTCGGGAGCCAACGGAGAGAGCATTAGGAAAGAAGAAAGAGAAATAAGGATCCTTCTGCGGCAGAAATAAGGATGGATGTTTTTATTTATATATCAAAAGAACATTCTAAATCTGCAAAGGCAAGCGTTACAAGTATGGTTGTCCGTACTTTCTTTCACGTTTGCAAGTCTATTTGTGGTTCTGCGCGCGCGCGCATTTATGTGCATGCGTGCGTGAACGGGCGAAGCAGTTGTTTGCATTCATATTTTTGGCTGCACTTGACGGATCGAATCTATGCAACCGCTGAAGTCGTCCAAGGATATCTTGATCGACGCTGGACCTGCACTTGCTTCTGCCTGCCATGGACACTTAATTCGTCATTATCCTCTTTGTCTTCTTCATCAACATCGTCATTACCGTCATCCTCAACCGCCGCTACGTTCTCATCCTTGACCATTGTTCCAGCGACCCTCCGCTCGTTTTGCTTTTTTTGCGTACAATCTTTAATTTGCACTTTCGCTTGTGCACGCTCACGTTTTCTTTTCTTCCTCCTGCACACACCTCTGTCTCTCTTTCTTTTTTCCCCCTTCGCATTCTCCATCCAACTATACACAATCCTCATCCATCATGGCAGCAAGTGTCTCCCCCACGCTCCAAAGCAGACCTATGCATCCCTCTACCTCTGCTGGGAAACGCGACTCGATCGCATCCATAGAACAACAGAAGCAGTTCTATAGCGACATGGCAGAGGTTACTCAGCAGGAACAGCAACAACAGCAGTACCAGCAGTATCAGCAACAACAGTATCAGCAACAGCAGTATCAGCAACAGCAGCAGCAGCAACAGCCCATGTCAATGCCAATAGACTACCAGCAACAGCAACCTTTCGACTTTCAGCAACAGCAGCAGTATTTACCGGAAGAGCAACAACAGCAATATGAATATGAACAGCAAATGTATCAGCAGCAACAGTACGAGCAGGCTCAGCTCTGGCAGCAACAACAAATGCTCCAGCAACAACCATATCTCGAGCAGGAAGACCTACTCAATCAACAAGACCAGTCGGTTCTCTCGCATGACCACCTCAAGCCCGGCCATAAGGCCACATTGCTCTCATACACCCAAACCCTGGAACTTTATCGCCAGAACGCCAAAAAGACCAACGACCCGGAGCTCCAATTTGAGTTTGCTGCCTTCATGATCGATGCTGGCAAGTCCCTGGAGGAGCCACAGGCTAGGGCAGAGCTCTTTGACGAGGCCATGAAGCTCCTGCGAAAGTTGGCCACGGGTGGACATGCAGAGTCGCAACATTATCTGGCTGAATGCTATGCCTCGGGCTTCGCAAAGGGTAAACCGGACTTTGACAAGGCTTTCCCGCTCTGGGTGCAGGCTTCGAAGCATGGACATCCCGATGCGGCCTATCGCACGGGTCGCTGTTATGATGAAGGATTGGGTACTCGCAAAGACAGTGCCAGAGCTGTTCAGTTCTATCGGTACGTATGCATTAGAGCTATGACCACATCATCGCGCAAGCTCAGACGGTCTACTTTGATTCTTGCTTAAAAAAAAAAAAAATCGTCCTTTGCCTGATTGTCCGACATTGCAGGGCTGGGGGTGAATAGTGGAGAGGTCCATGCACTGAAAAAAGCAGGGCTTTTTTTTTTCTTCCTTCCAATCCATGTTCGAGCCCCCTAACGAACGTCCTCTTTTTTTCTGAATCGATTCTCTCTCGCGCCCCTGTAGAAAAGCCGCGTCTGCGAACCATCCAGGAGCCATGTGGAGATTGGGCGTGGTCACACTGTACGGAGAACTCGGCGTGGCAGCCTCACCCCGCGATGGTGTCAAATGGCTCAAGCGATCGGCCCAGGCTGCCACACCCGAATTTCCCTTTGCACTTTACGAACTGGCCCAGTTGCACGAGCGCGGGATCGAAAACATTGTGTTTGTGGATCCTGAATACTCTGTTTCACTTTACTCCCAAGCCGCCGAACTGGGTCACGCCGCATCTGCATTCAGACTGGGCGAATGTTGGGAGTATGGCAAATTGGGCTGCAAACAGGACCCTCGACTCTCGATTCACTACTACACACTTGCGGCTCAGCAGGAGCACCCAGAGGCGTGTTTTGCGCTCGCGGCCTGGTACCTGGTCGGGTCAGTCGGCGTGTTGCCCCAGTCCGATGCGGAGGCGTACATTTGGGCGAAGCGTGCTGCGGATAAGGATCTGGCCAAGGCGTTGTATGCGATGGGATATTTTACTGAGGTTGGAATTGGCCCACGCAAGGACATGCAGGAGGCCATTGAGTGGTACAAGAAGGCTGCGGCCGCTGGAGACAAGCGAGCGACACAACGTCTAGAGGGTGTGCCCGTGGATGCCTCTGGGAAGGACAAGAACAAGGACGAGAAGTGCGCCATTATGTAGATCTCCTTTATTCTAATATCGTTAACTGTTGTAATAGCCAACGAACGGCACCCCCTCCTCCATCTTTCTTTATTTTTCAGCTGATTTTGCGACGAACCCCCTCCAGCTTTCTACAAGCATTTTTGATAAACTTTTTTTAGATCGCCTCGGTAGGAATTTACTCTATGAAAGAACCATCTCTTTGGGGAGCATGAATCGCTCTGATATTGGACCGCTCTATCAGTCCATGCATGCTGCAATGCAGTTGATGAAAAGTCATTTCTCTGACTATGTACCCATCATCGCTGTGTGGTAAATAGATAGATACCACATCCGTAAATGCCCTTTTTTTTCATCAGGAGCAATGTATTCCTTGGGTAACCCATCCATCGCTCTTTTGCGCGCTTTCCGTCTTTTTTTTTTTTTTTTTTTTTTTTTTTTTAAACTAAGGGGACTCACCACCCATAACATTTTTTACACCAAACCTCTACTGAGACCCTTTCAGAACAGCATGTCTGCATCCATACCTTTACGCGCTCTGACAGGAATCCAAAAATCAAGCCTTGAGACAGCGGTATCTTCATGGGCCATTTGGAAGACCCCCAGAGTGGCGGCGGCGGCGACCATCTTTCGTAGACAACAGCATCCACTAAGCACGGAGGCCAAACCAGTGCCTCAACAGCAGTACCAACGCCAACAGCAAAGACAAAGGCAAAAGCAACCACTTTCAAATACCCGGTCCGGTTCGTCCATATCCTCCTGCCGCTGCCATTGCTGCAAACGTAACTCGAACCAGGCGCAGCAGCAGCAGCAACAAGACCAACCATGCGCTCAAGAGAATTCAGAGGCGAGCGTTCAAAAGCGCGAACACAGCGACACCGCCCACCTCGATACCGGCCCCGGCTCTGTCAAAGAAGTCAACAAGGACATTTTGTTTGTGATCGCCGAGGCCGTGTGGGAATTGAATCGCGAGGTCCGAGCGGAATTGAATCGGTTGCAGCCCAAGAAGAAAGGGGAGGAGAATTCGATGGAGAACGGGTCAAAGACCAAGACGTCCACGGCGGAAGCAGCGGTGTGTAAAGGATGCCATAAATCCGAGAGACAAAAGACCGCGCCGGTCGATCCGGCGATCGCACAACTCGAACAAGAGATCCTTGAGCGCGTCTTGGGCAGGCATGGTTTAAGCAAGGAGGATTGGGGAGCGTGGAAGACGCTTCAGCAGAAGAGACACAAGGAAGCACACCCCAAGATCGGGAACGTGGTCGATATCGCGGAAATGTGGAAAAAGTGGAAAAGTGAACGATGGGTAGAAAGCGAATGAATAAAAAAAAAAAAGAAAAAGAGATATATCGATCTACCGATATATTTTCCCCCCAATACACTATCCCGGGGGGCCAGCCCCGTAGACCGTAGACTGTAGACCCGTTGAGAGTATTATTTTCTTATTATTATTGTCACTATTGTTTGTTATTGTTACTATTGTTATTGTTGCGATTATTGGAAAGGAACGCGTTTTGAAAGATCGTTGGTCAGGAAGTGTGCGCTACTTTTTTTTTTTTTTAGAGGCAGTGACCGTTGTTTTATAGAGGTGGTCCCTTTTTTCTGTGCAACTACAACATCGCAACACTTTTTACCTTTTTTTTTTTTAACACCTATACTCAGCAAAAAGCAATGGAACTCTTGTCAAGTACGATGGCATGCACCTGAGGAATTGAAAAAAACCTAGACCCGGAAACCAGCGTCCTGGAGACGCACGCATTTCGATTTTTGAAAGGATTCCTTTGCTAACCCCCAGGATTCACATCATTATAAAAAAAAAAAAACAACCAACCAACCAACCAGATTTCCAGAAGCGAGAACTTGTTGCGGAGGAAATCCTCACCAACAAAGAACTGGTGCGTAATATCAAATTCCAGGAAGAGGAAAAGGAGGAGGAGAAGGAGGAGGAATGGAGGGGGAAAATACTGGGGAATATTCAATACCCAATGCCCACTAGCGCTCTCCCCCAAGAGTATCGCGCTCTTCAGGGACCCAAAGAGGCTGCAGCATCAGACAACTCACAATCCTTTTGTGATTATCTCATCGACTGTTGATAGATCGTTGACTATGACAGGAGGAGGAACAGTAATCGGGAGGCATTGACGAAACTAAAGAAGGATCTTGTACAAGGTAACAACATCCCTTCGTTGTCGTCTTCTTTTTTTCTTTTTTTTCTTTTTTTTATAAAAAATTCGCACGCACTACTTTTGAAGAAGAGAAGGGAGAGCATACTGAACTGATTTCCGAGTAACTCTATGGTGCATTTTCGGATCCTTCCCCGCTCGTAGAAAAGAAAGTCTGGGTCAATCTAGGAGACCTGTTCGTCAAGTTGCCCAAAGAAAATGTCGAGACCATGATCAAGAAAGGTACGAATACTGCCTTTTTTTTCCGTTCCTATTGTTGTTGTTGTTGTTGTTGTTGTTGTTGTTGTTTCGTTGTTGTTGTTTTTTTATCTAGGATCTGCCTTGATGCATTCAGCATATGTCTTGACCATTTTGGCATCTTTCATTTCTTTTTTTTTTGTTCTCCCTGTTTATGGGCGCGATAGATCAAGTGACATTGGACGCAGAGATTTCAGACATTCGGGAGACCATGAAGGAAAAAGTCGTCGAACTGGAAAAGCTCGAGGGAGGCGACGGATCAAAAGCAAGGGCCTTCCAGCTCAAAGGGATGAACAAGTAAATAAGAAATAAAAAGAAAATATGCAAAAAAGAAAAAAAAAAAAAAAACTTTTGAACCCCAATTACTGCAGCATGGGTCTTTTTTCTTTTTTCTTTTTCTTTTTCTTCCTCCTTGGTGCACAATCATCATCCAGTTATTTATTCCTTTGTTATTGTTTTTTGTTGCCACTAAATCGAGCGAGGTTCCTGGTCTAGGGGTATGCTTAAAGGATGATTGAGATTGAGGTTGAGGTTGGGGGTTGGGGGTATGTCGGTATTCTTCTCTTATTCATAGTCGCCGGGCTCGCCATCTGATACTTCGCCATCCTCCACTGAGGCGCCCCTTTCATCCTATTCAAAAAAGAAAAAAAAAAAAAAAAAAAAAAAAGAGAACAAAAGTCGGGAATCAATATTTCAACTTTCTTCCAAAAAGATATCACCAGAACGATCGACTACTTTTTTTAACACCTCAGACTTTCTCTCTTTCTGAATTACATGGTGAGTTCCCAAGGCGGCGTTCTCCAAAAAAATCTTGACCTCCGCATGGGTATCAGCAGCCGCGATATCTACGGGAGTCTGTTGTAATTTGTTCTTGACTATTATGTGAGATGTGAGAAGCACAAATATGGTTGAAAACGTTAGTCGAAATGTCCCTTTCTTTCTTTCTTTCCTTTCTTCCTTTCTTCCTTTTTTTTTTTTTTTTTTTTTTTTCTTGCACGTGTACTTTTCGCACATAAAAATAACATTTCTCAAAAAAGTTGAGCCCAAGACCAAAAGGAAGGTAAAAATGTTGTCGATCGCATTACTCCAGTTGGGGGAGATTATTCATAGAAAAAGAAGAGAAGAAAAAAAAAAAAAAAAAAAAAGCAAAAAAGAAAAAAGCGAATTGAGATAAAACGTACTCTTGGGCGAGGCACCTCCGCGGATCAGGATCTGAACCATATCCAATGCACTCTCCACATCCTGATATCCCGCGGCCTTGTGCAGGGGTGTATCCCCTTCGTCACTGTTGATCGCATTCACTTTGATGCCGTCGTAATACAATAGGATCTCTAAACATCCTGTGGAGCCATATCGGGCACTAAATGAACGGACGCGAGGGGGAAGGGGAACAGAATGAGAATTTTCAAAGACGATGATGGTCAGTCAGGTAGTCAGGCAGTCAGTCAGTCAGGAGGTGGGTTTCTTTCTCAATAGCCTCGAAAAAAAAACGCGCCAAACAGAAAACGGGACGACCCACGTTACGCGTAGTGAAGGGCAGAATTGCCGAGTTCGTCTGTATGGTTGATGTCAAAGCTGCTGCTGTCTGCTGAAAGAATCTGCTCGAGCATGTCCAAATTGTCATCCTTGCATGCTGCGATCAGGATCTCATCTAGCAAACAATTCACGGTTTTTCGAATGAGAAATAAGGTTAGCGACAGCACTTGCTCTCCTTTCCCCCTGACAGTGGAATCGATTCCTTTTTGCAAAAAAAAAAAAAAAACACTCATCGCCTCTCCGCCGTACTGTTGCTGGCGCCTTCGTCGCTGGTCATGATGTATGGTATCTGTTGGTTGCTGTTAGCGTGGAGGGGGAGTCGTGGGAGTTGTGGAGGGCTGGCTGTAATGAAGTAAAAAAGAAGAGAAAAGTGTCGGACGAGGGAAGTGGGAGGGAAAATCAGGAAGGTCTGTACAAAGAAAATAAAAGGTTCTCAAAGTGCTGTGAAATTATATAAATGCTTTGAATATAGGTCTCAGGAACGATGCACATGCCATTTCATAAGCCATTGGGACATGGCTCTCGAAGTGCTCCTCTCCCCTCCT